GGGAAAGCTCCAGGATGTCAGAAAAAGCCGCTGAGGGGAAAGTGGAAACTCAGAAGAGCAGCGCTGTAACTCGGCTGTTAGCAGACCAGCTGTGGTGCAGTCAGAGCAGCCCCTCTCTTGTCATGCAAAGCCCCCCTGGAATGCAGGTGGAGGGGGAAGGAGGCCTCTTACAACAATGGCAGATTAGTGGTCAGTTTTGTGCGACTTTTCCCCTTTGCAAGGCATGAGCTGTCTCCTCCAGCGCAGCAGGGCCTCCCCAGAGCCAGCCCCTGCAGGGAATCAGCTGGAATCAGGAGTTAGCCAGCAATTCATCTGGATGCGACTCTTGCCTTAGTTTGTCGTTCTGCCAGTATTGGGAGTGGCAGGAGGATTCAGCAATGAATCGGTTGTTATGTAAATTCCGCTGTAGTTTAAAACAGATACTAAATGCTTAACATGTTGTCGACATCAATAGCAAAAAACCAAAGCCAAGTGTAACAAACCCAGGAATGCAATTACTCATGTGGGTGATTTGATATACATCAAGTGATACTTTAAAGCAATTTTTTTGTTCTCTCTTCTGATTTAGTAGACAATCTGTGATCTGCAGAGTAATTTTGGTCCTAGAAATTAGTGAAATCAAAACTATGGGTAAGACAACTTGGCCAATTTTTCCCTCAAACTTTTTCACGCTCAAAAAAAGTTTACAATTTGGTGGTCTAGAGCAGACTCAATTTACACTAATGGTTTAGGGATTTGCTGCCTGGTTAGCCGACAAGGATTGAAAAGGGCCTCGCTTTTCCCGGTATTAATTCTCCCTCAGCCAGGATCAGGCAGCTGCTTGCTAGGACACCTCTGATAACTCCTGTGGTAGACAAATGCAAGTATGTATTCTCTGGTCAGATCGTGGTCTTTGGTTATGTCACATTAGCCTACATTAACTCTTCTACCACTCTGTGCTCTGGAGGTTTTTCCCCAGGTTTTAACAAGAACTTGTTTGCCTTAGACGAAGGGGAGGTCTGGGCTGGCACTTAAAGAAGTGCTGATGCCCAAGACGGTTGCAAATTTAAAAGGCCCGTAATAGTACTGAAGATCTCTTTGGATGTAAATGCATGCTTAAAATACCAATGATTGCTTACAAGGCGGGAGATGCATGAGAGGTTGAGAGGTCTGTTCATATGCAGGCTAGAGCTACATTCAGGCTCTCAGATGTAGGGGGCAGTTGAGCGAGTAGGTAAGATAAGCACTTGCATTATAAAAGGACATTTGTCTTTGTGGTGAGAAAGTAGTAAGAGATGGGGGAGAGGAAATGAGTAAGTATTGAGGAAGGGATTTGCTGTCTGAAAGAAGAAACACTTGGGGTTTACTCTGAAAGAAGTGACACTCGCCGAGAAACAAGACTCAGAAAAGCTGAGCTAGCAGAGGCGAGTTCACATGCAGCATCACGTGTCAGGTTGCAAGCAGCAGAGCTGTGTACCCAAAGCCTGGCACCTCCACGTCGTGCACACTTTGTCTTCACTACGTACCCCCTGCTGCTGCCAGAGCACCTGGGGAGCTGTGGGGCGGGAGCACTGCACTGGAGGGAACCAGTCCTGAAAGCAAAACAGGATGTTATTATCTGGGTCAGGTCATTCTCTGTACCACACTGGGCTTTTTCTGCCTTAGGTCTTGCAGATTCTCCACCTCTCCATAGGTCACAGAACTGTAGAACTTTTGTTTCTGGACATGCAGCCCATCGTCCTGCTCGCAACAGGACTGGCACAAGTACTCAGGTCAGCTGGGGCTTTGTCTAGGTGAAGCTGGAAACCCTGCAAGGGTGGAAATTACATGACCTCTCTGGGCAGCCCTGTGCAGTGCTGCACTGCCTCGGAGTTTGTTCTGCTGCCTGGCCTGGATCTCCCAAGCTGGAGTTTGTGGCCATTGCCCTGCCATGTCACCTG